TGTGGTCTCCGTATGCTTCGTGATGAACAACAGTAGCAATGGTTGCAAATGTTGTTCAAATCAGCACAGAAAAATATGCTACTGGGCGTTTTTCTTGCAGAACGGCTGGAAAATCTACGACGGCTAAAACGCCTTGAGTATCTTAATGTCGCACTGAATAATATTGCTGTCGTCGAAAACCTCGAGCGCTGTGAAAGCCTAAAGAAGGCATGTAGAATGCTTGACAGACACGAATTTAGTAGCCTTGCGAGGCCTCTGCAGAAGTGTCACATGACTCCTCCCGTTCTGGCCAGAACAAGGTAGAGAGGTTTAGTGGCTTTTGGCAGCAAACATTCTTGAGTCCACACTTCATATGCCACCTACTTTGTGCAGCTCGACCTCACTGTGAACTTCATCGGCTTGCCAAGGCTGGAGGAGTCACTCAGCAACCTAAAACAAATAAACTCTCTTGAGGACCTGTATCTCATGGGAAACCCATGCACAGAGTGAGAAATTGGGACCTCACTGTATTCCAGCTTGTCTCTGCGCAAATGACAGGCACCTTTGTAATGATGATAGTGGGGGGCGCTGGAAACACATGCCAGCTCGTGCGTTGATGCCTACAGATGGAGGGGGTTCAGAAGCTTTACAATTGCGAATTTACTTCAGCTGAAGCAGCTAGACGGAAAGGTGGTGACCCCCGTTGAACGCATACAGGCTCTGCGTGCACTTCCAGTTTTGCAAGAAGACCTTGCCAAAGAAATCCAACGTCAGGAGGATGCTCCAGGCAAGGAAAGAAGCGCAGGCTCACTTCGAAATTTGTGTACTTCCTGTGGACTACAGCTGCCCCACGGTATTGAAGACCAATGTGCGCCATCACCCTGTAAAACTGCTCAGCGGACGCTTTTGAAAATGCATATACGCGGGAAAATCGCAAAAGGATGTATCAAGAGATGGCTCACGTAAGCTGTGAGGTGCCCTTCGCACTTACTGATAAGTTTGCAGCACATGACGGCCGTGCGCTCCATAGAGACTGTGTGGTTGGCTTGAATACCACAAAAACGCCAGCTACATCTTGCTGAGAAAGTGCTGGATATCATACGCCTTCATATGTATTGCTGCATGACCCTTGTTTCAATTCAGAAGGCAGAACCGAATAGAAGCAGTGCGGCAGAACGAAAAAGCCAGGCAAGCCCAAGAAGGACTACTCTGTAGTTGATTCTTTGTTTCCCTCACACAGCAGCCCCATTCGGCGTCTAGGGTTCACGGCATTGGTTATGTTCCTGCAGACCCAGCCATTTCAAACGTATAACAGCAAGGGTGAAATTCGTCAATGCAACCAAGGTACGAATTATATAACTGTGCAGCTCGGATTCTCCCCTGCAGAGAGTGCATGTGTTGTTTTCGGTGCACCGCACAACGGAAATATGCAATATGCAGATAATTACTGAGGTTTTCAGGCCGTCTAAAATTCACCATGGACTCTTACAGCCATCCCGGCATGATAGTTGTGACATTTGAGTTGCCACGGTAAGCTATGTATATCTGTCCTGATCCACGAACGAAAGTGAAAAACACTGACTCACAGGGGAACTCTGCAATTCTAGCACTTCGCGATTTTCACTTCGCAGGCATTTGTCAACTATGCTTATCGACGTTGATGTTCATCCCAACTATCTTCGAGTAACCGTTAAGGGTAAAAGAAGGATCGCGAGCCTTGAAATTTTTGTTGCCGAATACGGGAAAGTGTTGACTTTAGCTTCCTGAGGGTTATCAATATTTCAACTTTGTTCTCCCCCACACGCCGGTGTTCGTTTCGGCCAGTATTAGCTATACTGCTATCTGTTTACTGGTCAGGTAAGGTAACTCAGTTAAGGATCCTTGAAGAAATCTCTCCTGACAATACCAAGGTTAGTTCGCCATCAGCTAAGACAGCACAATCCTTTTTAAACGAACCAAATTTCGTCTAAGGACGGTTTTTTCTGCTCGGCCCAACATCTATGGCATCATAACATACGCCACAAAATCGTTGCCGACGAGTATGGGGAAACCATCGCAAGGAAAATTTGCAGGCATTTTTAGCTGCAGCCGTTTGGAATGGCATTTGCAGTTTTTACAAACCGTAGTGAAACCATCCGAGACTTTTGAAAACACAGTTGCGTAGCTGCGTTTATATGGGTTAGACCACAATCACAAATTGCTCTTCTCATCTGACGTTGCACAGAATGACGCCTCCAGCTTCCAATTTTTTTGCACTAATGGTAAAGGCATGCAATGCCGGATGCCTGAGTAAAATGCATTCCAGTCACATTGGCAAGTTAGAATTTTCTCGGCAGCAGAAGGACCAAACACATACGCGCTCAATACTTGCCGCAGGTGCCACTATGTCCACATGATGAACGTGCCATTCTGCTCGTGAATTCTTTTTCCTACGCTGCAAAAGAACAACCTACCTTCAGTGCTAGAAGGCGATTATGTGCAGGTGCTGCGCTCACAAACCACTGGCGACCTGCGAATTTGTATGCCAAAAGTGGAAGTGCATGAGGGAATTCAGTGCATGGATCTTTCGGGTGACCTACGCCACGAAAGCAGACAAGCAAACTCAGGTATTCCTCGGTCCTCTGTGTCGCACACGATAGAAAATAAATTGGTATTGTGGCGGAAAAGCGCATGACAGTGATTTTGTGGGCTGTCCTTACCAGGGAGGTGTGCTGCCCATTGCACAAATACGTCGGCGGTTTCTGCAGCTACTGCAAACCAGCATGCAGAAGAACAGAAACCGGCAAAAACTTTGCAAGAAAGTGACCCGCCTCCGCTTGAGGATATCAATATCTCTATCCAAATTGGAGAGCCTCAGCAACTCATCTCACAACGAATACGCTGACTGAGTGACTAGCTGTTGAAAAGGTTGTGAGGGTATGGCTGCTAACACGCTTCTTCCTCCGCGGGGGACTTGACACATCTGGAAGAAAATTGCATCTGCCAGGATAACAACATGGTGTAAGGCGTAAGGGTCAATTGACCAAGGAACCAATGCTGGGTTTATGTGGGGGCATTTGTGCTCAACCTCGTGCCGAAGCCTAATTCATTTTCAAGTTGGGGAGCACGAGCGCAGTTCGCTCGCTTGACACAGGGTGTGGGGAACTCGTCGGGGCATCAACCCTAGTGCCGAATATGTCCAATCAAGATGCGCCGTCGCTATGAGTATTATCGTGCATCAATCCTTAGTAGCGCAACAGTTGGTGGGGAGAATTCGCATGCATAATCCGTCGTTATCTTTCGTCGGCATGTCTTGGCTGCCCTTAAAAACGAGCGTTGCCACGCGGACCAGCTTAAAAGGGAGAAGTGGGAACTTGGTGAAAGCCTCGTGAATGCAACTCGAAGGGCTGACCATCTGAAGGCATGGCTTCCAAACTCTACCATCAAGCAGAACTTTGGATGAAGATGACTCGGTGCGCTTCGCTGCGGCAGGCCGGTTCAGTGGCATGGCTAGTGGAGACGGCATACGAGGTCAACTGCGGTTAAATAACTTCCCATAATTTTAATTAGTTGTCATCAAATGGCACTTTTCTCGTACTTTGTGTTTTGCTGTGGAAGCCATTAGGGCTACCAACAGACTCAAATGCTCGCCCGAGTTATCGACCAATTTCCTTCAGAATAAGAGAGTATCTATGGGCTGTTTTTATGTACTGACTTTCGAAGAACAGCACTTGTCAGAAAGAAAGGTGAGAACAGCCGAAGCGGGGTGGACTACACCTCACGTCCCAGCACTCCTCCAGTGTGTGTACTACGGTTCTAATAGGACTCACTCCACCTAAATTCAACGGCATTTTGGTTTTTTTGCCTGGAATGAGTTTTTAAATTATTCCGTTGAATGTCAACATAGCATCTTTCCGAAGTTTGTAGCCTGCCCGAAACTAGTGTGTCTCTACTTGCTTTCAACCTGGAAACAATGCCTAAAAGCAGAAGGTGCGTACTTGACAAATCCTCTTAGTGAAACAAGTCAAGGAGGTTCAACGCCTTTGTCGTTCTAAAATGTGTGACGAGGATAGGACCGTGGTTAAGGAACACTGCAAGCTTGGATTTGCTACCTGAATGCCTACTCTTTATGCTCAAAGAGAACAAAACCCTGCTTAGGATGCCCGATGCAGGCGCAGGATGATCACACAGGCATTTGAGGGAACGTCTTGTGAGGATCCTCGACAATAATTCTCTACTGCATGCATAACTGGGCAAACTAAGGGCCAGATGATCGGTTGGGCAGTTGCTCCCAAAAACAATAGTCGCAACGAAGCCGAAAGAAGCTTGAATATCGGCAACGTATTGCGCGATGAGTTACGCTGCATCTGTAGCAAGGGGAGTTCACACATGCTGACTTCCCATCCTTTCTACCTGCTCGCCTGTCCATGGGCACCACTAGACTCAGGAGCGTTGCAATCTAGCTTTAAGGCCTTTTGGACATTGCTAACCCAATCGACAAACGCCGCAACTGGAGGGGACCTGAAAAGCCGTTACGAACAGGATATTACGACAGCAGCGGGTGTTTTATCGGGTGACCGTGAGGAATAGGACGCCATTGCTGAAAACAAAGTAAGAAGTATATATTCGTTAGCCAGATTTCCACACCTGGAGGTCTGTTTATCCTTGAACTCGGGAAGCATGTGGGGCTGGAGGGAAATCTGTCCTATTTTGCAGTCCGAATTCCCCTTAGACCTACAGCGTAGATCTGACACACCTTGGCTGTGACCCCCACGTTCCGTACCATCGTTATCCACTGCCAGAGATGACACAGATACGTTAAGGTTTTGGCCGCCATCGCTTGTCTCATGTGCTTTGCTCATGGCTTTCCGTAGAGTGGTTCGAGCTTCTGCGCGTCCGCTCCCCACCCGTCCAGTCGTGCCTAGACGCGCCTGCAAGCGAGAAGGGTGGAATTCGCTGAGTTGTCCTTATGTACAGTGTATGCAATATTGTACGAAATGGAATCGAAACAACAGCAGACTATGTCTAGTGTATAGAATCCCTCAGTGAATCACCTGCATCCTCCCAAACTGGATATTGGCAATGTCCTCAACCAACCTTACAACCAGTCCAAACATGAACTCCAGTTCTTCGTGCCTGCCTTTGCTATCCTTGATAGCAGAGTGTAAGGCTGATATTCGCTCGTCTAAGGCAGTATCCTGCGAAACTACACACGCTTCGTCGTTACCAGATGAAGGTGTGCAGGCAACAGTGATTCAGATAACTGATGCAAATCTTCGGGTAGGGCGAGCAGATTGTTCCAAAAGGCCAACTCAATGAGTTCACGAAGTAGCCCGTACAGCAATGGAAAATGAATCCTGCCTTTCTTAAGCCTAACCTGTGCAGTATTGTAATCTTGCAACTTTTGAATGTTCCCCGACAGAGTCTGCAGGAATTTTGTCAGCAGTAATCGCCGAAAACCTCAGCAATGCCTAGGAGCTATATCCCCCTCCAATAAATTCAAATGTTGTCTTCCGAGAACTGGCTGGGTCAAGCTTACCGCGTTCTTAGATGTTACTTCGAGCCCTAGGTTTTCCAGTTCCTTCCTATCTGCTTTTGAGGCATCAAGCTGCTTCACGGCAGTCCAGATAAGCAAAACGTCCTTCATCATATTCTTGACATCGTCTGAGCATAGTCAGCACTTCGCTGCCATTGTGCACTTCTTGAACTATTTGTTGCCAAGAAGGCGGGGCTCGATGAGATGGAAGAAATACAGCCTCTCTGTATGACCCCAAATATTTGGTTGGATGCCTTATTAAAGTAGTGCAAGCGGATCACCATCTCTTGCTAGAAGGGCAAGTTGCCCGGACAGCTGCGTTACCATGGCTTCTGCGCTTTGCACACGCTCCTCAGCATCCCGACGGAAATTTGCGTGTATATCGAGTTCGGCGGCCATCTGGAAGACGATGCGTAGATATGGTTGGAAGGATACATTTTTATTACCATCCACACTTGATTATGTGATACTAATGGGCTTCACTCATGAAGCTTTACATTCGTAGTGAAAGTGCTATTTCTTGACCAAATCCGCCTCTGAATGGCTCACTTTTGACATAGCCTCTGCGCCTTCTTTAGCTTTATGTTCAAGCGCAAGAGCGCGCTCCTGAATGGTTAATCAAATACTCGCCAACTTGATTGGTGTGTCGCAAACAAAGATACTCGACCTGGACAAGGCCCGTGTAGCGTATGATCTTGCATCGGTAAATTTAATTGCGTGACAGATACGATCTTAAGCGTGTATATTTACACTCAGCTACGCTCGGGCCAAAACGCAGAAGCAGCCTTGTTCTAAAGCATCGAGAACCAGAGCGGTTGGAGGCGCAGAAGGGGACTCACCATAGTTGACTGCAGATAACTCCACAGTTCTGTATTTCGCTCGACCAGTAAGTCGGTCTTGTGGGCCTCTGCTACAGCTCCCTCCTCCAGTAGCTTCAGCCGAGGGTTCACGGTGCCATCCAGGAGCCCATGCACATCTGGTACTAGCTTTTTAAATTCCTCTTTCACATGCTCAATCTCAGAGGCCCATCGAGCTTGGTAAAACCATCGTCGGAAGGAGCTGCGAAGCTGCATTTACACTCGACCATTAACGACTGCGAAACTACAAGGGTCAGCAGAGTACTGTTCGTCATTTTCATCCCGATACCCCTGGCGTCGGTTCGTCCCATCATCAGGACTTCTTGTTCAAACTCAAAAGCATAAGCATGCCTTTGACTTACTGTGCTACAAATGCGATTGGCTAACAACGCAAGCCCATACTTTCTTCTGCTTGCCAGCCACGCCTGTTCCCTCCATCTGCGCAACAGCCCCACCCCGACAATTTTTAACGCCACATCAGAACTCAGATATTCAAACACGCTAAACAAAAGCCTTGAGAGCCCTTCAATCTCCCATGGCTATACAGGGCAACGTGGTGTTGGATAAGCTAGGTGTTCTCTTCAAGCGCCATTCGGCAGGCATAGGCTTGCAATCACCCAACCTGAGCAGTACGGATCGTTTCACGTCTTTCTGCCTGTTCGTTTCAGCAGCCTTTGCGAGTATGTCCAAACAGTAGCTTATGCGCAGATTCATCCTTTTCTCCACTTTGCCACTGAGTGCTTGAATATCACTTTGATGCTTTTGCAATTCTGCTGAGGATATGGCTTCAAGGGACTGCTCAACTCCTTTCCAAAGACCCTCATATTTATTCTCGACCGAATGTGCTAGCTCTTCTTGACGCCGCTCAACCTAAGTGTGTCATGCACGTGAAGGCAAGCGCTTCCTCTCCATCCGAGTATGGAAGCCGCTATGCTCCGTCAGATGATTCTTGGTCTGTCTATACTTCTGAGGGAAGGCTTCTGTTTGTTTTTTGTGTCTCAATCGTGAACGGCGCGTTACAGTGCTCTCACCTCAGTGCACCGCGCCTCTGCTGCTTGGCATTGAACGGCAGCAGCCGCCTGACAGGCCTTAAGTGACCCGAATTCTGGCAGAATCTCTTTGAACTGATCGTCTAGACTGCTTTGCTTATTTTCTACATCCATTACCCTAACTTGCAGGCTGCTCGCAGCAGCTCCGTGGCTCTCTATCTGACAGCACAATCCAAGTTATACGAAAATGCCTGGTCTGCTGGGATTTGTTGTTGGAGAAGAACCAATCCGAGGGAGTTCAATTTCGGGCTTTCTACCAACAGCATGCAGTCCAGGTTGGAATCTAAACAAAAGTAGCTCTTATGCAGAAGGTTGTTGTAAATCACTAGATTACCACAGCCTTTCGAACTGCGAAATATGGTCCAGATGCTAGAGCAACGAAGGGAGTGCCCCTTACTCACTGCATAGTTTGATATAGTGCATAGTTTATTTTGCATGTCAGCGTTTGCATGGTGGGCGGACCTCACTTTTGAGTCAAGCAGAGAGATCTGCGACTGAAAAGATTTGATCTCATTGTGGTCGCTGTCATATCTTTCCATCTTCTCTCTGATACGCAGCTTATCCAGTTCATCAAGTCTTTCTGACAGCCTTTCAGTTGCGTTCTGCAGCTTTTGCAGAGTTTGTTGCTGCTCCTTTACTCCATGCTCTTCACTAGCAAGCTTCTTGAGCAGCTCATCGAAGGCAGATGCTAGATCATCTTGGCGCTTGTGTATAGTCTCTTGGGAGCGTAGCAGTTGAGCCAAGAACTCTTGTAGGCGCGCTGTCTCTATGTGAAGCCCGAAATCCAAATTCGAGTTATCCATTTCAGCATTGCGATTTCTGGATCACAGGGCTTTTGATTATGTGCTACTTCGTTACGCGGCACTGTTCGCTGTGTATTGCAGTTCTGCTAACACAGCACACCTCGAGACCGACAGGAGTAGAGCAAATTTGTTGAAAACTGCACGCAAATATCAATGGAATGCATAGTGCAGAGATTCGTGGCCAAATCCTAGAAGAAGATTACAAACGCTATGGACGAGCGTGCGTGTAGCATATGGGTAGGCCGGCGGTGGCACCACGTCTCCTTTTCCATGAGACTGCAAAATAGAATATGTCTGGCGCGTTAGGTTTCTCAAAACAACCGGAATACTCCGTGTTAGTTTATCATACAAAGATTCCTTCTTGTTGCAGCTGTTTAGCACGCGTCGGCCCAGCAGATGCATGCATGCGTCACAGAATCACGAATCGCGGGGCTGGGCTCGTTACATGCATGCGCTGCTAGAGCTGTCCTTTCGTACTGGCAAAAGTGATGCTCTTGAGCATTTTAAGAAAATATGAAACCTCCATATAATCAACAAAAGTATACAACTCTCGTAATATACGCGAGTGTTTGCGCTCAATGTAAAACCTTGAGTTGGAATGGAACGGTCCGTCGAAGCTACTTTGTGCACGTTCACTTGCTAGACGCTTTAGTGCAAGTGCAAGTGGCTTGGACTTGTCTGAAAATTTTAAAAAGTAAGTGCCCTTCTCAAGTGCAGTTTTCTGTTCTTATGAATCCGTCAGCAGTTTGGGCCCTCGAACCACTCCCTAGACGTGCTTTGCATCACTTCAGCCTGCGAATGATGTGCGACAGCTGTAGTCTACGGCACATCACAACAGTCTTTGGCGGTGGGTCTGCAAAGACACCTATGGAAACGCCTGACCAACTTGCAGAAGCTTAAAAATTGTCCTACGCAGCTAGCTTCGTTGTAGAAGTTGTGCTTGCTTGAACGCCCCGTTAGGCATTCATGAGAAAACACCTGACTACGGAATTCATAGCCTATCTAACTCCGAAGCGGCGTACGCAATGCCTATGTAGTTGTAAGAGCAAAAAATACGGGCACAATTGTCTGTCCTGTCACGATTCCCTTATGAAGCAGAGTGGGACATCATCAGTAGGGAGGAATATTCTTTGCCGACAAATAGTACGTCTTTACCCTGTATTATTTTGCCGCACATTTTGTTTAGGGGGGATCCCTGAAAATGCATCAGTAGGATGTGCTTCGACTTAAGCGTATCTGCAGCCTCTCTTTGAAGGCGCTTCGAAGGCGGAGTTTGCGTTGGAGACGACATGAGAATTAGAGATATTCTTTAGTGGTTTACCTTATAGAAGAAATACCCTTCGCCTTTTACTTGCAATGGAGAGCAAACAAACAGACGACTTGAGGCTTTCTGCCGTGATTGGCATCAACGGTACCTCCAAGAGATGTGTTGTCATGCATCCTGACAACCAAAGGCTAATATTTGCCCTTGGATATTCCGTTGTTGTCCGCGACCTCAAATACAGCTCAGAAGCTTTCCTATGCGGGCACGACAACCGCGTCACCTGTATCGCTGTAAGCAAAGATGGGAAATATCTCGCCAGTGGGCAGATGACGCACCCAGGGTTTGTTGCGGACATCATTATTTGGAGCCTCGAAAAGTTAGTAGAGCTAGGAAGACTCAGGTGGGGGTCTCGTACTATACGGAGTTAAACCCAACTGCCAATCCCGTAGATTGCACTGATGTCTTGGACCACACGTTAATCGTGTGTGCATTGGTGGAATTCAGCTTTCATAAGGTCTCAGTTGAGTGCCTTGACTTCTCCTGTGACGGCAAGTTCCTGGCCAGCTTAGGTGGGGAGAGTTGTAACACCTTGGTGTTGTGGAGCGTTGAGGAGAGGAAAGCCCTTTGCCGGACGGCGGCTGCACTGGACTCGTCGAAATGCTTGACATTTTACAACAAATCGCCGAACATGCTTGTCTCTGGTCCGTCGATACACAGCACTGAGCCCATGCTGCTCTTATTCAGACAGTTGTGCCAATGGTTGCACGAACGAAGACCATTAGACGCTGGATGTTTGTTTGCCTGCTCAGCTGGAGCCTCTCATGTTCGCATTTGGGAAATTGATGCTGCTACAAAGAAAATGACACCACGAGATTGCAATCTTGGTAAACTCCGCAGGACATGCAACTCACTTGTCCTCCACCCGGCCGATGAATTTGTATACTGCGGGACTCAATCTGGTAAGACATTGTCTCCAAGAGATTGCGGAGGACAGAAATTCATAAAGTTTTCACAGCATTTACAGGTATCGGTGAATTTGCCTAATAGTCATATCCCTTCATGTCACTGCATTTCTCAGGGGATATCCTAGAAATATCACTACGGACGGGGCTATTTACGCGAAGTGGGCCCCCCAAGCGGCAACTTGAGGCGGGAGTTACTGCAGTGGCTCTTGTCCGCAGTCAACTTTTTGCAGGCACTGAAGACGGCCAGCTGCTTCGCCTGGGGACAGACAGACTGTCTCCAGCCAGCTTGTGCCAGGTTTCTGGAGCGATTACCTCTCTCGTTGCAGCTCCTGACAGCTCCATGCTGTGGGTTGCTACGTCAGCGAACAATCTCTACAGAATCGATGCTCGCACGCTTACACCTCACCTCAAGCATTCGGCGCACGTTGGGAGCATAAACCAAGCGACATTTCCGGAGGAATGTTCTCAAGTAGTGGCCACGTGCTCATTATCAGACGTGAGGATATGGGACGTGAAGACGTACAAAGAAATTTTAAGAATTCAACTCCCTGGTGTGGAGTGTTTGTGCGTGGATTTCGCTCCGGATGGCTCCTCCATAATAACCGGGTGGAAAGACGGAAGAATTCGGGCATTCACCCCCGAAACAGGAAAGCTGCTCTTTTGCATTGAACAAGCACACAAGGATGGAGTCACAGCGATCGCAGCTACTCGGGTCGGCAAGAGATTGGTATCGGGTGGGCTCTCAGGCCAGTTTAGAGTGTGGGATGTCCAAAGCAAATCTCAGGAAATGCTAGCTAGCAAGAAGGAGCACCGAGGAAGAATCTGCAGCTTGCGACTCCGTCGAAACGATATGCACGTATGTTTACATAGAAAAATGTTCGACGCGTTACACCGAATACAGCGGCGGCCGACGAAATGTGAAGACGCCGACACAATCATGTACACAGGTTTGTCCTATTTTCCAGGTGGCATGTCCATTCAGGCGCTCACCGCTGCTGAGGATGGCACGATAATTGTGTGGGACATGGCAACATACACTTCTATTCTATCGATCAATGAAAGTACAATCTTCCGAGTGCGTTTCAAGCACCGAAAATTTCAACCACGCAGTGGGCATAGAATCACGTGCATCCACGCAAACATTGTAAAGAAACTGAAAGTACTTTGCACCTCCCTTTGATTTATGCAAATGAATGCGCAAAATGCTGGCAGAGTGCGACGTACTGTGCGGATGAGGTTCACATCGTGGCAACAGGGAGTGATCGGAAGGTGCACTACTTCGATGCTCTAGACGGTACAAAAATCAGGGATTTCGAGGTCGCAGACGAAGGGGATGTTCATTGCATTACTTACCATCCAAAAACCAATTTAGTCTGTACCGGTCAGCCAAGCTTCCAAACACCAAGTAGAGTAACACTAACACAACCGGCATTCCGGATATGTTAGCAGTATGGGGGAAGTCCAGCGACGTGCACACAAGATCGAATTCGAACTATTATGGAAGCCTTCATGCTCGTCTATTCCCAGGTGGAGATGACCGCTTCCTTCGACTTTGGGAATACGATTCTGGCAACTGTATCGCGCAAGCCCGCTGGCATGCCGATACAGTGCGGTGCGCTTGCTTTAGCCCTGACGGTAGTGTCCTCGTATCTGGTGGTGACAGCGGAGTCATCCACTTTTGGCAGATTTCTGAGCAGCTTCATCTACAGAACACTGCCGGGGAGTAGTAGGTGGGGCACTAGAACTGTGAGCTTCTGAGTAAAATAGCACTGGCATACCTCAGTCACAGAAGACGAACTGTGAGAACCCCGTCGGATTTCTCCGGCTTCAACGATTTGTAGGCCTCCAAACCGGGCAGTCCAGAGGATTTACCCTTAGTTAGACCCTAAATCCTGGCGCAGGTGCAGCTACCAGTAGCTGATCACCCTGAAAGTCTCCAAGGGACATTAGCAAGGCGACACAAGGGCCTGGGGCTGCTGTAGAAAGGAAGCGGCAAACCGTAAATTGCTGCGCACCCTGTCGCAACTGCTGCTCCAAAACAACCCCACTTATCAGTATGCCTAAGCCTCCTATCGCTGCACGCACCAACACCAACGCGTAGACAATTGTTAAACAGTCACTTTGTTCATAGTAGCTTCACCTGCACGCAAGCAGGGATACATCCCTAACCTTCAGACACGCCGGTGTTACCCATGTTTCCCCCCTTCTCCCCAGCCCGCGCAGTGAAGTGGCGCACTGACCCTCTAAGAGGCGCACCCCTGGGTTGGGAGCCGCTCTGTAATGCGGCCATCAAAGCATAAGCAAATATATCTCATGAATAGACGATAACAAGCTGCACCAACGCGGAAGTGAAGCGGGGTTATTCACCTCACTTGTCTGGTACAAAAAAGGCCGCCTTACATGCTGTAGTGGTTAACCCTTTTCCAGTGTGAGTTTGGAAAGACCTGCAGCCGCCTGAATAGTAAGGAGGAAAGTGAACGGGAGTCATTTCATACAACGGCAATTGCTGGGCGCAATGCCTGATATACATGGCGCACACCCAGCAACCATACAGTACCAATATAGTTGCTGGCTGCACCAGTAACCATATTGGTACTACCCTTGATGTATGATATTGCCGCCACTTCTACCACTGACCAGACCTCGTGGAGCTCCTTCTGACGTCCCTGATACTAATGCTGTCTGTCAATGAAATTGTGTTAGTAGCAGGCGACTGCTTGGTGCGTTTTCAAGTCCTTGGCTTTCTACGAGAGCCGAATCCAGCGGATGTGCCACTGTCAACGGTTGTTAGGAAGAGGGGGCTGTAGAAATCGGGGAGCACGGGTACTGGAGACGATGCCAAAAGTCTGATGAGGCACCTGGCGTCTGTCCGTTCCCAAGACGTTTCCTTTGGAATTTTTGTACTTGCAACGCTGGCGGCGGAAGTGTGCCTTCCTCTTGCTCCGTTGAATAAGCGGCGATGCGAGCAAAACCAAAGGACGAGCTTGCGGTAGACGATGGGAGACTCAGAAACTTCTGGACTTCTGCACGAGTGTAAGGGATAGCGGCTACCTACGAGCGGTCTCAATCTTCGACGGGTGTGGTTAGCTTCCTGTTGTAGAGGCAGGAAGCTCTAAGAAGCGAAGAGCTTGCATGAGAAACAAGCGGGTTTGTCCTTCTAGGAACCACCGTTTCTAACGGAGTAGTTGAAGCACATGATGCAGGAGCTGCAGGTGCTCATTCCCGTTCCAACTGAACTCATGAAATGATGATTGAGCCCTCCCTGTCTGGGAAGACTAAATGGTGTCCAAGCTGTTGCTGCATTTCTGCAGCTGCATTTCTGCAGCTGCATATCTGCAGCTGCAGTCAGGCGCCCAAAAGGTTTACGTAGATTTTCCTAGTTTGCGAGTGCTGGTGTGCAACGCAGGCATGAACCTGTTGCTGCGATGTGTTGCAATCCGCCGAAAAGCGCCAACGAAGTCAGACCATGAATAGATAGCTCCAGCCTTCGACCCGCCAGACAGTTTGTGCATTGGGAGCATCGGAAACTTCAATTTCCTCGTCACGTGATTTGCGGCTTTGAAGTCAACGCATATGCATTACATCCCGTCATTTCTTTCGCCAGTGCCGGATGGCTTCCAAATGGGCTAGTGGACGGTTTTAATTTGCTGTTTCCTAACGGTCCGTCTTCTTGTCACTCGTTTGTCTCTTCAAGATGAAAGGCCGTTTGTACCTCGGAGGAAAGCTTGGGGTGCGCTGCGCAAGTGCGGCGTATCTTGCGTCCGCCGCACTGCTGGGACGCTCCCTCCTCATAAGACGCATCTGAGAACTGTTCCTTCAACTCTGACTACTTCCTCTGTTCTGCGGGTGGAAACTGGATTGATTTGCTCGAAACGGCTGCCTTCATTTCTCCACCACGACGATATGCATGCATTTACCCGTCGTTTTCCTTAGGGTTTAGGGTTCTGCATTGAGTAGGTGCCTCCCCGCTTCTTAATTCCCCAGACCCTGGTTTTATTGATCTTACCGCAGGGGTGCAGATGCTGTTGGAGGCGCTGAGAGGTGCACTTTCTCATTGCTGCTTGGCACCTAGAGGTCAATAATTTCTGAAGGCAACATGCTAGCCCCCCACTGAATCAGCCATGGCATATTCAAGATTATCCCGTGAGCAGTTCCCACCGGGAAAGGCCGGTTTCGTGGCAAAGTGATCTGTCATCTAGTTGAACCTGCATTTTATTCCCACTGTATTGCAGATCCTCTTGTCCTGCTTGAGGCGCAGTCACAGGGACTGCGCCAATAAGCCTTCTTCTCGCCGTGTCATGGCACATCATATCCACTTCAGAGCATGCGTCATGTTCAGAAACGGCATGAAGCATTTGGGGAAGTTGGCCAGCTACACAGGTGACTCGGGGGTGGAACCGGACGTGTGCTGTTGTCCCCTTTTGCCCCGCGTTGTTGCATCGCACGTTCCGCACCGTGGAATTTTTCCCGAAAAGCAATGACCTGACTAAAAAAATAACCGTAATTGATAAAGAAAGTACACATAGCAGTTATAGCCCGTTGGATGAGTTTGATAGACAGAGCACCCCGCCAGCGAATCAAAAAGGTACTTACCCTTCCCAGCATCGTGGTGTCCGTCATAAGTGGCAGGCCGGCAAAGGCGGCAGCATTCAGATAATGAGTTACCTTCACGCTAAAGGCATTTTTCTCCTTAGTGTAGTGCTGAAGCTGGGGCGGCAAGCCAATTGTCGCTTCAGTCTCCATTGTGCTGGGGGGGAATGGGTTGAACAGAGAAGGACGTTAAAAAGGGCGTCTGAAGCTTTTTCCTTTGCTTTTTGGGGAGAAAGTGCATGGATAGTCAGTGCCGTGCACAAGTTTACCCAGCTGTGGGGTTAGCGTTCGTCGCTCGCTCCTGCCCAACTCAACGAGGCGGAGCTAGCATGTGTTACGAGTCCTCGATCTTAGCCGAGGGCCGTCATGAGCTGCAATATGATCAATGCACTTCAAAAAGGCGTTCTCAAGAAAGAATTCGACCCTCTTTTCAATTGCTAGTTGGACACAGTGGCACCAGGGCCTGGGGCTGGTACCCATACCTTTCTGCAATTGATACTGCAAATCACCCCTACATGCAAGCACTACCAAGCCACCCTTGCTGCATGCACTAACACTGTGGGCCCGTGGCTTTTGCTTGGCCCACATATTGAAAGACCGATGTTTTCTGGAAGCATTTGCTCCCGTGTATTACTGTACTGCGAGTTGCAGCACACCTTGCTGCTTGCTCAAAGGGCTTATTATTCCTGCAGTGCTTTATTTCTGGAGGCCAACAAATTCAATGGCCCCAAAGCAGAACGGAGGGACAGCAGCTTGCTAGCCAGCTTTCTTCAATGTCATCTGGGCGGCAAACAGTTGGGATGGGCGCCAGGGCAATTAAGCCCTTTGAGCAAGCGGCAAGGTGTGCTGCAACTCGCAGTACAGTAATACACGGGAGCAAATGCTTCCAGAAAACATCGGTCTTCCTGCCCTGATCGGCATCTTGAAAACAGTGGTTCAAGTTTTGTCCAGGCAAGGCCACCTGCTGTGACTCTTCCCACACACCGTCAAGCCCCTACTGTATGCACGGAAAAAACCAGTATGCTTATAGGCCTTCCAGAATAGAAAATTGCGTAAATACAGCAGCATTAGCTATGTTAGACATTACCTGCAAATTCTAGGACGGGCGCACATTGGCGGCGGATGCTGTTTGCCGCAGCTGCCGACCGTTCCGCATAGCCCTGTCCTAGGGAAATGCAGCTGGTTTTAGAGCGAATTTCTATGCTGGATAATGGAAACACGTGCATTGTATCCTCCGTAACCAGTCCGTTCTAGATATTGCCAAGACGAGCACCAGATGGCTGATTTCAATGTAAGCTCTGCCCTGTGTTTCCAAGATCTAGCGATTAAGCAGCCGACCTATACGCTTACATACGTGACTGTAGCATCAATGGAGTCTTACTTGAGTGGAAACCCAAGAGGCATTAAGCTTAACGATCCTAAAATATCCACGTGGTGCATGAAAGCCTGGCGAATACCGGTAGGACTAAGTTAGTAGAATAAGGCGCCTGAAAGCACGCTACCATACCTTCACTAGACTACGATTATGCACTTTTTGTTTATTAGAACGCCAAAATTACATACGTCCGGCGAAATTTGTGCCGCTGCAATCTACTAAGGCGCGGCATGCATACGAAGCCTGCGGTGGAAATGCAGGTGGTGAAATGGGGGTTGTACGAAGCGCGCAAATCTCGGTGTTTTCTGGGTTCAATAAAGGGCAACGAAAGAATCCAAGGCGTCTATTTGAAACGGGAATTAATGCATAGTTTCCCTAGCCCCTTACCGAACGAATGCGAGCCTAGAGGCGCTCCAAAATTGTGGAGCGCCGCCGAGCAGGATGAAGATTTCAGCACAGTGTCTTTAAAATGGAAACCAGCTGTCGTAACTCGGTAAGGAAATGCAAATTGGTAGGGGAGGGATGCGAGAGTACAGAATGTGCCTTTCGCAAGCCTAATTTGAAAAAAAGCGTGTGCTCACGGGAGTATTATCGGCCCGGCCGACGCTAAGACATACATGCGATCAATGCCACGGGCCACGTACTACGCAGGTATCGTTCAGATGCCCGCCGATGCAACTGAAGAATAGCTTTTCAGCGGAGAAACAGTTTGAATACACACATTCTGCGCAAAGCATTTCAACAGTGCTCTCTATAAAGCAAAGGCGTGCTCATCAACTCACGAATACTCCCAATACGCTTTCGGCCGGTCACAATAGGTTGCCCTTAGAGTTTGGTGTTAAACATTTGCAAGTGGAATCGCTGTGCCTACAAATGTTCGGGCTTCTCATGGCTACCATTCAAATCTTGCTTCTCCCGTTTGTGTTCGTTCCACTTCATCCGGCACCTTGATACGCATTCAAGAGACCGTTCTTCTAGCCGAGTAAACAACCATTATTAATGAGGTCAACACTAGCTAATCCAATTGGTGGTCGTCATCAAGCGCTTGCCATAATCAGCGTAGACACATTTTTACAAGAAACGCCGAAAATATTGAGTCCAACCTGACAGAGATGAGCCTTATGTAGCTTAGTTAAAGCGCTCCAGCTATTCTAATGAAATATGTCTATTTGACAGAATGAGCATTTCACGGAGTGGGTTCAGGTTTTCTGGAGCGTAGAGAGGCCGCAGGCTGCTGAGTTTCCAACTCCAGTTTTTAGGACTATCTACCCCGGGAAGGTTGAACCTAGCCCGATCGTCAAGGCCCAGTATATCTTGGACTGGGAGAATGACGAGTTTCGCAACACTGAGGAGTGCCAAGTGGGTGAGGAGCCTGTGGGCCGCAGAGCTTGGAGGCTCTTCGCTTAGGCCTAAACGCACACCAGACAAACGGATGTAGGATTCAGTCGTGTAAGTTTAATTCTATAGGATAGAACTTTGTATATCGAAGCAAAACCCGTTGTTGATACAAATGCCTGTCAAGGGAAGTACAATCCTTATTTTTGACGAAGGAATGCCATTGTACTGTGGAACGATAATAGCATTCGCATATCAGTCTCACCAAAGTAGCTTAAGAGGTGCTTTTTTTCTTCAGCAGAAGCTGCCTTCCACCAGGACTGTGAAGTTGAGTTGTCATGCGTCCCGGTGTACACAACGCAATCTCGTGTGTGATTGTACGGAAGATGCTCGCAACGCAACCCCTTTTCTTTGTCCGCCCAGGCGAATTGCACGACGCGCATGCTAAAGATGCTGTACTTATCCCTAAGAGCTACGATTTCAGGGGTAATGAAGCCCAGGTCTTCTGCTATCAGCAACGGTGCGGGCCTAGATGGCTCGCCTCCGCCTGGGATGCCAAAGGAGTGCGGCGCTCCGGAACTTTTCTTCAGTGGCTTCGACTTTTCAATAACATGTTTGTTAATAATGTTAGCAAGCCTCTCCCTTACTGACGGCCGCTTGGTGTGTTTGGAAAGTGCCTCTGAGTATGCCGTAGCCACATTGACTCTGGGATTTTCCCAGCCCATGTTCTTGAATATTGCGTCGAACAGTTTCGTCCCAGGTCCCTTCACCCACTCCCCATCTCTGGCACTTTTATGCTGTATAGCAAAGTCATACGGTACTCTCCAATACGACTCAAACCCACGAAAGTGGTCAAGTCTACAGGCATCAAACTTCTCGAAACTATTCGCCAGACGGCGGGTCCACCAGCTAAAATTGGTGCGTTCGTGGGTATCCCATGCATAGACAGGATGCCCCCAAAGTTGCCCTTCGGCGCTAAAGTAGTCTGGAGGAACACCTGCATCGCAAGCGCTGAGTACCACACTCGGAGTCACTAGTAATGCTGTAGCTCTACTCGTGCATCACTCGTACTGTTATTAACGGTCTGCCCATGTGTTAGCGATATACAGGCCTCCTCACCAGAAACGTAGAGCGGCTTATTGGTAGTAATGTCCATCTGAAACATCTCGGAGTTGCTCCAGGCATCACTAGAGTGCATATTGACGTAAAATGCTATGTCACCCAGGATTTTGATGCCATTTGTGTTGGCCTGAAGACGCAGCTGGCTCCACTGTTGTGAAAGTATAAACTGCACAAACCGGTGGAATTGTGGTTGCAGCTGCTCAATCGGTCCCGCAACTTTCTTTTCAGTGACGCTCTCCCCTCCGGGAAGCAGCTCAAGGTTCTGCAGCAATGATTCATTCTTTACAAGACTTCTATATGACCGATATTCCTCGGGCCACTCAAGCCACGAGGAGGCATGGGGATGCCGTGCCTGTATGGCTTCAAATAGCACATACCCGTCTAGCCAAAATTTGTTGGTCCTGCAAAATTCATCATATTCTTCTGTCGGAGTCTTCCTAGTAAATGCATTGTACGCAAGGGCTAGCAATTCATCCTTGTAGCCCTTGGCTACATGGTAGTCAACAAAGTCTCCAGGTTCATTCGTATCCTGATAGGAGCATTCTGTGTTAAAGGGTCTCCTCTCCTGTTGCTTTGCCTGCCATTTGGCCACTAGCTGAGTTACTTCTTCGACGGTGACAAGCCCGAGAGATATTAAACCAGCAGGACAGACCAGCAAAGGGTTCAGTGCGAAAGAACTGGTGCTCAAATATGGACAACCGGGCTGAGACTGAGAATAAGTGCAAGGCCCGACGGGGAGCACTTGCCAATAGGAGAACCCGGCATCCTTAAGGTATGCTAGAAACGGTTCAGCACTTTCCCCGAAATCCCCAACAATTCCACACTTGCTAGGCAATGAAGTAAAGTGAAGTAAGACCCCTGCATCACGCCCTTCGTACATAAAATCCATTTTCTGTTATTAAATGTGGTAGATAGGCAGCGTGTATGGCCCGATTTGTCCTCTCGACACTGAAAAGGAGCCAATTTGAGGTCACTGGCGAGCACCGCCCATTGAGTCGTTCATTCTCTCCACTGGAACGACTAACGACATTCTTTTTAAGAAGCTTTGCACAACATAGTTTTCTGCATGGCACTGTATTTTACAGGAAGCCCCACTCGGTGCTCGCAGCAAAGACACCCTGGGGCTGCGTGCGGGACGATGAGAAAAAGAAACACCAGCCTCACAAACTTCACAACTTGCTAGAAATATAGCCTTTTTAACTAGCAGTACCCTTGAGGTTCAATGCAGCAGCGTTTCATATTGCTGCCACTGCGGAGAATCACCCCGTGACAGAGGGTCCATGCTTCGCCATACTGCCAATATGATCTACGCATGAATTTACTAACTCGGAAGGCAAAAATATGCCTTTGTAACGACTTCTGCAGAGTGCCCACGCGTATGAAGGTTGCAGTTGGAGCATTCAAAGGGGTTTAAATGCAACCATGCATTTGGACCACTTCGCAAACAATGATTTGGCTGGCTCGAGGAATCAACATTCCCGTCAAAGTTAAGATGCAGAACTTCCCCCTTGTTTGCCGTCAAACTGATTTCTTTCTCCATTTCGATTTTTCCCATTTGCAGCAAGCCTACTAGCGTCCGGTATGCGCAAAGCTGCCTATGGTTCGATTCTGTCTCACGAACATAACCATGGTAGGAGAAGCATGAGGCACGGATCTTTCTTGCCTTCATAGACACCGTCTTGTAGCTCTGTACTTATCACTGCGCTCGTACGCTCCCTTGTGTAAAAGCCATAGACATGTCGCGCAGCACGATTCGTTGCGAACAATGCCTGGAGGAAGAGAGCTCAGGAGATCCTTCAGAATGGTGTTCTGCAGTAAAAGCTGTGGACTCAGTCTTCTGTGCTGGGTTCTCATGGCTTGGGAATGATTTCATTCATCTTCTGTACGTAGAACCGGCGGGAAGTTCCCCATTTGCCCACATGAATTGTTGTTATTTACTGCAGGCAAGTCCAGCTACTAATAGAAAGATGGGGCGGCTTGCAAGGCCTGGAGGCTGGACTACAAAGGACAGCTTGCCATTACAACTTTAATTCTATGTTAAAAGACGGGAAAACTACACAAACTGGCCCGAAACACCACACGCAAAAGGAGCTTGAGAGCCCACCAGCACAACGCACACAAAACAGGTTTACAGAATTACTTCCTCCTCGAAGTTACACGCTGGTTGGCAGGTGCGATATGAAACCCCATTAGTGTCTTTTGTTTGGCTTCTACGGAAAAAGCCGCTGGCTGCTGCACAGTCCATCTTTGAACGGCATTGAGATGGTTGGCAATCTCCCATCCGAATATCAGAGTACTGCATGGCTTGCGCGGGCAATTTCTATACACCTCATGTGACAGTAGGTAATGTATGACTTTAGGAAACACTCTTTAGAACGTAGAGCAAGCTCTAGTTTTGAATGCCAAGTAAATCAGAAACGGCGCACCAGACACACACAATTCTTAGACTTGCTCAACCCTCTGTTTCTTCTGCTTTTTTAGTTCCACTTGTGCTTAGCCGCAGCCGTCCTTGCAAATCTCACCGTTGTCTAGCTGCGCCAGTTCAACTTCCTCCTCGTCAGGTACATTTCAACTCCTCAAAGCTGATGCCAGGCCTCGCACGGTACAAAGCCCCCAAAGCCTGTATGCGAAATATTAAGCAGCGTCCCTATTTGCACATGAGGCAGTCTCTGCGCCTGAAACTGCCGCCTTCGCATCGTAAAACTGGGAAGACTTGCGAAGCCAATTTACACTTTGCTGAATTGCGCGGCTCTCCATGCGACAACGCTGGGACATCTATTACTTTGTACAAAAGCCCTCTATGACCAAGCAGTGAATTCGAAATGGGAGAATGTCTAGGCCAGAGCGTTCGTAACAACGTGCACACATACTAGCATTTCTGTAATTGCCATGGATTTTGAGAACTGCCATATTTTTTCAGAACAAGAAAGTGGTAGTTCGTATAGCCCATGGCAACGGGACGGGACAAGAGAAGCGCTTTGCCTGCGCTCGTCTTCGAATCACTACTCATTATCTTGGAGGAGAACAAGTTGGGACTTTCAAGAAATGTTCCAGAAAGCTGTTTTGTACAAGCAGCTTTTTGGAACATCTTTTTTCTAGGTCAACATCTGAAGCTGAAGTTGAAATGCAAGATCACACTTGCGTCTGCACCTATCATTAAATTTTCACTCTCTTCGATATGGCTGTCAGAACGGTGTAGCAGGCATGCCATCTAACGTAGGCGGCGCAAGCACTGCCACTTACCACTTGCCTGTAAGATAAGACCCTTAAGGCCAGGTTTATTCACACTTCGCGGCTGCCCACGTAGGTCCGACCAGCTTTCTTATGAAAACGATCTTGCATAAGCTCAATGTGCGATTGTTTAGTTGTGGATAGGAAGCATCACAGGAAGAACGTCATCCCTGATCAGCCGGCTGCCAGACGGCAGAACAAGGATGACAGCAGCAGTAGCAGCAGCTGCTACTGCTGCTGCTGCTGAGTGGGTGCCTGTAGAGCGCTGGACGCTGCCTCAGCCAAAATATATACCAGTGGATTTTCTGTCAAGGGACAGCTTAAAGAGAGACACCTCCGCCGGCTGCCAGACGGCTACGGTATAGGAGCGCGCCTGATGCGTGAGTAGTAGTGGCAACCAAGCAATAGGCAAGACTTACGCAGAACGGGTACACCTTTCGAGCAAACAGCCATAATATAGAATTCACCCGCAGTGACAGAGACGCTTTTGCGAGACAGGGTAGCCATGCCTAATGGTTGAAATAAAAGCAGGTTTCCCATGCCAAGTTGGTATTAGCGGCTAAACGAATTGTCATGTTCTGGTGGATACAAGACCTGTCTGAACATCTTGTAGGAGGACTGTCTGGAATCTGCCTAGTTGGCACCAGGGCTCGGGCGGCGGGCGGGGGACGTGCCCGTGGCTGTCGCTTGAGAAAAAAGCTAAGCACACCTCCGTATTCAGTCTGTACCAGTAGCAACAAGGACAACTGACGGTGTCAATTCTTGATGGAATGTTGGTATTCGAGTGCATTCCTTCAAGAAAGTTGGGTGTCCGTATGCAAGTGACGGACTCCAGGAAGTAGGCATCCCAGTGATGCAGCAAAGGGAAAAAGCCGCACTAAGTAAAGAACAGCGTACTCACTGTACGCCCCACTCTAGTACCTACTGTTACTCTTTAGAGGGAAAAATCCCTATTTGAGCTGCTTCTGCGAAGCCGCATGACCATGGAAGATACGGCAAGGCGAAAAGTTCTTTACAGCGTATGGGAGAGGTGGTGCACCACCCACGCCTAATGCTGCCCCCATAACAATCAAAAAAATCTCTTTCGTGACTATATATTTGGGAAAAGCTTAAGCCATACCGAAGCATATCCCGCTCTGCGCCGGCTAGAGGACCACAATTGACGTGACAGGGGGAGCCGTTTTGCTGTCACCTTTAGATCAAAACAAACTGGGTTCAACGAGACACACTTCTCGGGAAACAATACGATGTAGAGCGTAGTTGCCCAGTCAAGCTTCTGTTGAGCATCCCGTGCCAGCTGCACCTTTTTCCGTCACAAATTGATGCGTGTACTTGTGCTTCCATGCAGGTTACTAAGGGCCACAGAAGTGTCCAACTATAGTACAGCGCTCGTGCATGCATCATCAAATAGGGCCTTGGATGCATCTGGATTTGGCTTACAGCACGGTTTGGAAAAAGGTGAGATCCAACTTAGGATAGACCGGCTCCTCTCTCTCGGCCCTTGGCCTACTGTGCCTAGGGCACCACGGGATTGCAAAACAGGCCAGGTGCTCTGGCGAACTAATACAATAAATAGTTTGACTCTATTGGAGCTCACGGCGGCACTCGACCGAAGTCGAAGATTGGGGAGGCTGGATGCCACTGCCGGGCTCAACGGGGCAGCAGCGATCTGCAAACTTCAACCGGGCCTCTGGGCTGCTCAGTTCATACCGCTTATTAGTAGGAAGGTATCTGCAAACAGAAGAAGGGATGGGAACATTTTAAAGATATTTTCTACCATCCCCACCCTTGTTGACTACTCGGCCATTTTCGCCTCCCGTCCAGTCGAGATTTATCAGGAACTGTCCCCAGGTGAGGGTGCCCCCAACAGCTGGGCGCCTCGTTACAGTAGATTATCCCATCCAAGGGGAAATGTCTTTACAGCCAAAAGCACTCAAGAATGATATTTTTCTGGCCGCCCACGCATGAAGGATACCTCGCCGCGGTGGAGGCTGAGGTAAAATTTCGTGCTTCGCTCGAGGATCAGTTCGTCTTCAAAATGCCCTTGAAGAGCTACAATTGCTATTGGCAACTTCTCCATGGGAAGGGGTGCAAGACGATGGCGGCTATGACTGAGCGAGAGCACCATTTTCCGGATCACATCCTAACCACGAAAACACTTAGGGATGCGCTGTATCGCAGCGCATCTCCCAGGCCGCCAAGGGGATAGGCTCTGGCAAAACTAAAAAGCTTCAACGAGGGAAGCTTCCCACAGAGCTATGCGTTGGGAAGCATGAGGACTTGGTGGACAGAAGTCCAGCGGTGTAATGGAAGTTTCTACGTGAATGCTCGATAGCATGGCTGACGCAGTCTGTAGCCGGATCGCTAAAGGGAACTAAGAGGTGAAGTGATATAAGCCGCCGAGATCATGGAGCGCTTAATTGTCAAAGAGGCGAAAAACTACTTACGCAGCCCTAGCTGAGAGCAAAGCAACCTCTGCAAATATCAAACAGACTAATCCTGTGGATATTGGGCATGCAGATGCCAGAAATGCCCAGAAATAGATGAGGAGCGAGTGCAGGCCGTAGCCAGCGAATTCAGTACTCGGAAAACTGGGGTGCCTACCGAGCGGCGCTTCTGCTTATTCTGTAACAAGTAAAGCCAGACAATTCGAAAGTG